CCCCGGGATCATGACCCGAGCCGAAGGCAGACGCTTAACGACTGAGCCACCCAGGCGCCCCCCAACATCTGACTTTTTAAGAGAAGCAGAAAATTCAGATTTTATGTGACACTTCTAGGTTGGGCTGTTTTTTCATTTTAATTGCGGTCTCAACATCAACTGTTTTCTAAACACTGGCAACTAATTCAAGTATTCTAAAACACTCTTGAGGCCAAAGTCACGCATTCACAGATGCAGCCGGTGGGCTGCCAGTATTCAACTTCGGAGAGATGCTGCTCAGGGCTTGGGGCCCCAAGCAAAGAAGTCTGAACGATGATGGACACAAAATATGTTATTTATTGTCAATTTCTGCAAAGACACATTTAAGCAACAAAATATACATTTGTCGACCTTTTAGAATTTGTTTTATACATTAACAAATACAATGTGCTACCATAGCAATAAATTAAATGTACATTATTTACATTACATAGGCAGTCAGGGTCTACGAATCACCTCCTCAAGAAGAGGAAAGAAAGAAAAGTCATCACCACATGGATCATCATTTCCAAGCTACACTTCTTAAGTTCTATCACACAAAGGAACCTCTTCACACTAGAACATCGGCACTCCCCGGGCTGGAGTGTAGAAGGGTAACGTCCATGACGGGGGAGAGTTGGCATACATGCTAAGGAGCGGGAAGGAGGAACTGAGCGTTCCGAGTGGAAATATTACAAAATCAAAGATGATGGCATATAAATTCCAGTCTGCAGCCAAACACCCTCTCCCCAGGGCTGGTAAGGCCCAGGACAGAGCCATTGCCCCAACAGCCTCTCACTAGGCAGGGCTCCGCTGTCCTTGTCCCTAGTGGGGGTGGTCTCCCTCCTCCCAAAGGGGCCGATGGCCCGGCTGAGAGGAGGGAGTTGTGGCGTTGGGGTGGGCGAGGGGCTAGTGTTACCACTAACTAGAACGCTCCTTGGCAGCCTTGGCAAACTCCACTGACCCACTCCCACCTTGCAGAGAGGGAGCTTGGGGAGAAGCCGTGGGTCCCTGCCAGCCACCTACTTGACCCCTGGCCGTTCCCCCACAACAACCTGTCTCTGTTGACTCAGAATCAAATGAGGAAGGTAGTGTTTGCACTGGCACCTTAACCAGTCAGGGTAAGAAAGTGATTCTGGCTCTCATCCTACCACGGCACAGGAACCTACACTTTTATTAGCCACCTTTGTTTAAGGATCAGGGAGAAGAGAGTTTTCTTTTACCACTTTTCTTCTGAACTTAAGAAGGGGAAACTGAGGGCTAGTTAACTGCACTCTGCCCCAGCCTCCACCCCCATTACAGACCAGAGCTGAAGACCCGAGGTTACCAGGAACGGTCCACTAAAAATCTCCTTCCCTCCTTGTTTTCTTTGCTCAAGCCGCATCCAAAACCCCAGGGCCCTCACTGGAAAACTGAGTGCATATCCCTCCTGATGAAAAGAAGAGACTGCACTGATATGAGGAATTCTTGATCTCAGAGAACAAACTGAGGGTTGCTGGAGTGGGGGGTGGGGTGGGAGGGATGGGGTGACTGGGTGATGGACACTGGGGAGGGTATGTGCTCTGGTGAGCGCTGTGAATTGTGCAAGACTGTTGAATCTCAGATCTGTACCTCTGAAACAAATAATGCAATATATGTTAATAAAAAAAAAAAGAAGAAGAATGTAGCAGGAGGGGAAGAATGAAGGGGGGAAATCGGAGGGGTAGACGAACCATGAGAGACGATGGACTCTGAAAAACAAAGTGAGGGTTCTAGAGGGGAGGGTTGTGGGAGGATGGGTTAGCCTGGTGATGGGTATTGAGGAGGGCACGTTCTGCATGGAGCACTGGATGTTATGCACAAACAATGAATCATGGAACACTACATCTAAAACTAATGATGTAATGTATGGGGATTAACATAACAATAAAAAAATTAAAAGAAAAAGAAAAGAAGAGACTGAAGTCCCACCCTGACCGCAGACACCTCCCAACCAGGGCCCAGGCACTAGCTAACTGACTCCTCCGAAACTCAGGGCCCCAGCAAATGTAGCCACCCATTCAACTGACCGTGTAGGTGGCACCGAAGAACGGGCCCTGGGTTGTGGGTTCCAATCCCAGCTTTGCCACTTGTTGGTTGTGCGACCTCCAGTGAGTCATTTCCCCTCACTGGGGCTGAGGTTTCTCAGCTGGATGACGATATGGATGGATTAGATATCAAAAGGGGCCCAGAAGGCTTGGACATTGAGATGAGGCCAACAAGGCTGAACCACAGAATATTTTTCACTCATCATTTTCCATTAATTAGAAACTCTAGCTCAGATCTTCTGTCTCAAGCTCATTCTGCATCTGTTGTTAAGCATCAACTGAGCATATGGGTGCCCTGCAGAGCCCGACCAGTATAGTTTCTTCCACGAGTCAGGCACTTCCCAGAGGCAGAGACGTGTCCAGATCACAAGCAGAGTGTTTCAAATCCCAGCATGAGCACCGTCAGGATGAGTCTGGTCACAGGGACCAAGGAGACTTGAGCAAATATTTGAGCCCCAAGACTGGGCGCAGCAATAAAAGGAAACTTTGGGCCAGAGCAGATGCAAGAGAATATGGGGGAAGCAGCCTTCAGGAACCCAAGCTGCCTGCCCCATGGTCCAGAGGGGTGAGATGAGACTGTCCACTCCCTGTCCTCCTCGTCCCCCTCAGCCCTAGGACCTCACGGGCTGGTCATGTATACTCTAGAAGCCATAGATGGGCTGGGCTTTCTAGAGAAGGTAAGACAGGACCCAGAGAGAGGGACATTTCAGACCCTGCCCAGCGTACCCCCAGTAGCAAACAGAAGGTGGAGACCACTTCTCAGGTCTGTTTTGTAGGGAACAGGCCTGTGCCTCCCAGTGTCCCTGGACACACGCAGCCATCCTGGCCACTGGCTCAGAGGCAGGGGCTGAGCCCTCTCAGGAGGTGGGGGCTGCAGAAGGAGCAGCCGGAGCAGTGGAGGAGAGCACGTATGAGGCTCCCAGGAAGGACAGGGTGGGGACAAGTTGGAAACTCCAGAGGGCCCTCGGACCACAACGCAGCACAGCACAACCACCAAGCAGCTATAAATACCAGCTACCCGAGAAGCAAGCCAGAACCTGGAAGAGTTGTGTGTTTTTGTTTTTGTTTTTTAATGCAGTTTGACCTTTCAAGTTCCTCCCAAAAGCCAGCCAACAGAACGCTGCCAGAATCCGCAGACCTCGTTCCAGCAGTGGGTGCTGCTACAGTGATTTTTAATAGAAGCTAAACAGACGCTTGTTGACCTTCTCACTGCAAGAAATTTTACCGGACTAGTATTTTAAGTAAACACGTTTCCCAAATAGTGAGGGGAGAGGTCCACCCAGCCCACAAATAGGGTCCCACAACATCCACATGGGTGAGAGACGAAGGATCAAGGTTTTGCCCTAATGGCAAAAGCAGCGGGGAAACAGTCACATCAGTCACAGACAAGTAGAACGTTGACGCGATTGCTTTGACTTCGGAACAGGCCCGGATCCCAATGCAAATAAAACATTTGGTAGAAATCCTTGTCATCGGCTCATGGAAGAAGGAGCCCAGCCTGAGGCACCGGGGCTATCTGGTGTTACAGGGCCCCACTCGCACCCCCAGGGCTCTGCAGACGGGGATGGGCGAGACGCAGGGAGAGGGGGCCTGCTCCTGACAGTGAGCTGGCTCTGGCCAAGGGGGCAGGGGGCAGGCAGCCTCTGAACTGCAGCCAGCTGGGGCCCAGGTTGTAAAAATCCCGCCAACGTGACCACTGCCTACGGACCCATAGGTGAAGGGGATCGGGGGACCAAGCGCCAACAAGGCCAAAGGGCACAGCAGCCAACAAGGCCAAAGGGGGACATGGCTACCCGCCCCCCCACACACACACACAGATGCCAGGAGCAGAAATCGCAGAAGGACGTCGCTCCTTCCTCATGCCTACCTTCCACGTCCACACGTCAACCGAGGCGGACAGGTCACCCCCCACCTCCCCGGCTCTGACCTAAGTGGTGGGCTGAAGCAACTCTTCCACGAGCCTCCACCTCCAGCGGGGACCTGATCCCAGCCCAGCCTGCGGCCCCACCGTTCTCCTCAGCCAAGGCCCCACAGCACAGCTCGCCAGCTTGCTCTTCCTGACTTCCTTCCTGCTCCGGGCCGCCCACCCCTCTTTGGGGAACACGTCTGCTCTGAGGGGAGAGACTGGCCGGGGCTTCTCCCACAGCAATGGCGTGGGGGCCCCTCCACACACGCACAGCTCTGTCTCGCCTCCGCTGCCGGCACCCGGGGTACACTGGGCTCAGGGACGAGGCAGCGCTGGGCCCGAAGGCGGCAGATGGGCCAGAGAGCAGCTCCTGGCGCAGAAGCACACAGCTGTGGGAGCAACGCCGCTGATTTCCAGCCTCCTATCGTGGAGGACGGCTACAGATCTTGGTGCCTGGAAAAGTGGTCCCTCCGCCACCACTCACTAGGTTTGCTGTGCCTGTCACGTGCAGGACACAGTGCTGGCAGCCCCCGCACCCCCCCTCACCGCACTCTGCCTCTCCAGTCTCTGACCCAGTCCCCAGGACCCAGATACCCCTTGCCCAACTCTTTCCTCTGTGCACAACGCAAGGTGACGGGTGAGCCAGACACATATCACAGGGGCGGTCGGGAGCAGGGGGAGCCTGGAGGAATGAGGCCTCGTCCAGAGGAGAGTGCTTGAAGCGTGCCTTGGCAAGGGGACAGGCAGGACACGGGGACAGACAGCTGGTCTGGTGGGCAGGTGGCCGGTGGGGCAGCAGGGCTGTGACGGTCAGAGTAGTGGATGGCACCCCCAAACTGCCGGAATAGGAGCCTTCTCCGAGACAGAATCGGGGCTTCCCTGGAGGAGAAAAGGAGGGAGAGGATGACCAAACACTGCATAAGGAGAACGTGTGCCCATGGCGACAGCCCACTGAATGGGCTTGGGACGCGAGGGCCAAAGACAAGGGTGCCAGACATTAGGCAGTGTGAGCAGTTGGGCATAAACGCTGACGTGGTGAACAGAGTGGGGTGAAGGTGAGTGTCAGAATTGCCATGGTCTCTTCTGCTTTTTCACAGGTTTATATAAAGTGGGCGGAACTCTGGCCCCCGCTTGGTTCTCACCGGCCGCCGCCAAGCCGCATGGCAGGGAGAGGGCTGGAAACTCAAATGGCTCTTTAGGAACTTCACCAGCAGGAGGTCAGGTCTTGGTGGTGGCAAACCGGACCCAGGCCCTGCTCTGCTGAAAACCACACACTCCCTCAGCTGAGAATGTTGAGGAGGCTGGGGCATCTCTGAACATGCAGAGAGGACACATTTCAGCCCAGAGCCCCGGCCGAAGACACAAGGAGGGAAAGGCTTCCAAGAACAGGGAGGCAAGGGGACAAACTGAAGGATCCCCTGTCTAAGGGAGGAAGGCCAGCTCTGGGCTACTACCCCTCTGCCTGCTGGAACCAGGCTCCTCCCAGGGCAGGGAGACCAACTCAGTGAGTCTGGCCCAGTCGTATCGGGCAGCCCTTCCTGTCCGCACCCGAGGCCACCTGCGGTTCTTCTTCCATCCAGACCCGGGCCTCATCACAAGAGGCTTCAGGGAAGAGGTGAGCAGCCCTCCCCAGCTCAGGATCCCTCTGGCCAGTCTCAGGACATGAGGACCCTGATTTTAAAGTGGACACACCTTCCCTCGTGGCCACAAGACAAACACGTGACCCACCTTTGACAAGCGAAGGACTCCTCTTTCACATTAGTGACCCTGTTTCAAGAAAAACCCACACAAGAGTTATAAGTAACCAGACAACATAATCCCCGCTGACTGCGGCCCCTGTGCGCTCAGCTCTCAGCTCTCTGGGGAGCTAGGGAAGGGACACGGGGCTCCAGGAGCCGAGAGTTCCCAGCTCACAGCTGTGTGTGTCCCAGGGTGTGACTAACACAGGGGGTGTGGCCGAGGCGGCTGGCAGCCCCAGGCCAATGCCTGCTCCATGCGGGGACTGCAGCATCAACCCCAGACCTGGCCAGAGCTCTCCTTCTCCCAGTGGGCTGTGTGAGGCACCCCCTTCCTCCGGCCCCCAGGAAGGACAGCTGGCTTTGGGAGGGGGCTGGGGTAGGATGCGGGAGGCCATGCCCTCATGCCCCTAATCCTTACCGCACTAGAGCTGCCATGGCTGAGCTTGTCGAAGCGGAATTTCAGGTTTGACCTCGGGGAGTTTCTGCTTTTGGCATCTAGGAAAGAGAGAAGTGTCCATGAAGAGTGGGCGGGGCTGCAGAGTCACTAGGGCTGGGGTGGTGCTGTGGGGGGGACCTCCTCCCGCCCCGGGGCGCTCCAGCTGACCTGCAGCAATTTGTCAGAGCCAACTCTTAAACCTTGAGAAATTTTTAGAAATGTCAGCTGGCTGGTAAACCCAGGCATTTTTTTTAAAAAATAAACTACAGAAGCTTCCAACTCAATAAATCCTATTCATCAAAGATAATAAATACTCAAAAGTCCTCGCTCCCCAATTATTTCACTGCACTTGACTACTATCGGCTCTCATCGGGTGACTTATGTCCACGGCGCCTGCCCGGCGCTTCCTCCCTGCTAGGCACAGCGCACTGTGGGCCGGGGCTCAGCCGGGGCCGGGCACTCAGAGCACGGAGAGCAGCGGCTGCTATAAAATCAGGGCCTGGCTTCAACTAATGCAGAAAATGTTAAGAAACACAGATGAAATCTGAAGACACGCTGCGTCTGTAGCCATTACATTAGGACGGGTACAAACACCGGAGCCGGTTCTGGTCCAGCACTTGAGAACTAGTATGTGATTCAGCAAAGAAGTTGCTTATGTCCCTGACGAAATATCAATCATCAGTCACGTCGGAACTACACCTTGTTGGTCATCTGCAACTTCCAGTCATCCACAAATACAGAGGTTAGACAAACACCAATCGGAGCGCTTGGCGAGAATCAACTGGCAATATGGGACTTAGAATAGAGAATTCCAATGTATCGTTATTTATATCCGTAAACGAGCGTGTGCGCACGTGCAAGCGTGTGCGGGAGAGCTGGGCCGGGAACATGGCCAGCACACCACTGGCAGAGGGGCTGCTCGGCTTTCTGGCTTTCCTCTGCCCTGGGGGGGTCTACGGGTCAGCACACTCCAGCCGGAGGCTGCTGGCCCCTTCAGATCAAGGGGTTCCAGCCAGCATGGTGAGTCACTCTCAGTCGGGCCTGCCAATCCCCATTCAGGGCTCCGGGCGCCCAGGTGTGACATGACCAACGGTCGGGGCATCAGAGACTACAGAAGACTGGACGTCAGGCCCTCCCAGGGGACCCCCCTCTGCTTGGCCCTGTCTCTCCCCAAAAGGAGCCAAGCAGCTCACAACAGGTTCCCAGAGGTCTGCAAACTGACCCCGGTCCTGCGAGTCCCCAGCACGGCCTCCATGAGGCTGGCAGCAGGAGGTGGCCGGGGTTCACTACTGTGCAGGGACAGGGGTGGAGATCAGGAAGCATGGGAGGGGGTCCCCAGGCCCGTTCAAGGTCCCCTTCTGCCCCGGGTGACCTTCAGCTAGTGGCAGACCCTCTCGAAACCTCCTGCTACTCAGAACCTTATTTGCTTTGGTATTTATTTAATACCAAGTAGGAGCCGCGCTTGCTTACAGATTCTTTCATTCATTCCTTCAATATTTAATTAAGCCTTATTTTTTAAAAATCAGGGTATTTATATTAGACCAAAGAGCCTGGGCACTTCGGGGTTTTACAGATGGGGAGACTGAGGCTCAGAGGGGTGAGCCTGTCCTTGCCACAGCCGGGGGCTGAGTGAAAGGAAGCCCGTGAACTGGCTCTCTCTGCGTTTCTATCATCTGACTAGAGTTTCTCAGCCTCAGCCTATTGACATTTCCTGCCAGATAATCCTGTGCTGTGGGGGGCTGCTCCGTACTTTGTCAGATGTTTAGCAGCATTCCTGAGCTCTACCCATCAGATGTCAGCAGCACACTCTCCTCCCACAACCATGAAAACCAGAACTGTGTCCAGATATTGTCAAATGTGCCCTGGGGAGCACCATTAACTACACTATTGTTTTATTCCTGTTATTTAACCTAACCAACATTTAGGTTAACAGTTCTAAAGTCTCTGACAACTAAGCTCATCTAATCTTCACACAACCAACCACGCAAGGTAGGAACTATTCCCCTCCCTCCATCCTTTGCTTGGGGAAACTGAGGCACAGAAAAGCTCAGTAACCTGCCAATGTCACATCACTAGTAAGTGGCAGATGAAGGATTTGGACCCAAGCTCCACTGTCCTGCACTTGTCCCGCCTCGAGGGCCGGACACCAAGGCTCTGATTTCTGGGTGACGGTGCCCCACCGTACCTACCATGCACGTCCCCTCATGCTCCAGCCCCTCCCCCCTCCCCAGAGCTGCCGCCTCGCACTCTGCCTGACCGCAGGGGTCCCAGAACCCCCAAAGGCCCAGACTCTTTGCTCTCTCTGAACCCCCACTACTGAGTGGAAAATTCTACCTCCTTGACATCTCTTGAATCTATATCCTTCTCCCATTGCTCCAGACAGCCCCGATCCACAGCCCAGCCACCCCTCACTGCCCACTGTGACCCCTCACTGATCTCCCTCCCTGCGTCCACTCCCCACCAACCCCATCTACTCAGCCAGCTGCGGGCACCTAGTCCGGACTGCGCTTCTCTACGTAAGACCCTCCAGTGGCTTCTCTCGCCAGCAGAACAACACCCAACTCCTTGCCAGGATCTCCATGGCGGCCCCAGCCTGGTGCCCCATCTGCCTGCCGTCTCCTCTCACACCTGTCCCCTCCGCGGACTGCAGCCCAAGGAACCATGTGCGGTTCCCTCCACCTGCAACACTCCCCCCACTTTGTACCCTTGCCCTTGTCACGACCATCACTGGGGCAGAGGCGGCCCGCGTCAGTGATGGGGTGCGGCAAAAGGGCCTCCACTTTCAAATCCCAAGTCCTCTACCAAATCACTGAACTTCCGGAGCCTCAGTTTCCCCATGAGTAAGATGATAAGAACACAGGCATCTCAAGGCTGATGAACAGACCAAGTGAGCTAGCAGAGCTCGAGGGCCTAACGCTTCGGGGCTGGAGCGGAATGTGCTTGGTTCGGTGTGGCTGAGGCGCATGCCCACGAACAGTGGTCACAACACAGCCCCTGCCCCTCTGGCCCCAGCCGCCACTGACCTGTAGGACTCCGGCTCACGATGATGGGGGTGGCAGGTGCTCCCGGGCTGGGGCTTTCGCTGCTCGGGGACGGGCTGTAGACAAACACCTCCTGCTTGAAGGGCGAGGTCGTGGACGGCTGGCTGCTCTGGGGAGAGAGGCCGGGTGAGTGAGGCCAGCTCCGTCCTCAGTGGCCCCACAGGGTGGCCCGTGCCACGGCAGGTCTGACACCGTCACTGCCCTCCACTTTCCACGTGGACCTGATCTGGCTGCCGCCCCCAGAAGTGCCCCTGACCCTCTCCTCTCCTGCCGGGAACCCCATGACAGGGACCCCATTCAGGCCTCTGGCCCTCTGTGGCTGTTCCTGTGTCACTGGCAGGGAGTGGGGACAGCTGATGACTGGCCCACCTCCTTCTCGTTTCCATACTGCCCACCCCCCCC